CGCATGTAATAACTGTGGCTGAGGTAATGTCAGACCGATGCCCAGATTGTGTTCAATTACACTGTAAAGCAGTTTAATACAAGTTTTCAGCCTGCATCTCACATTAACTGCATGGCAACGGCACATATACACAAGTAACCAAGTTACTAGGAGAAGCAGGACATTTAAAAGATGTGTGACCCCTACAATAGCCTGGTAACTATAAAACCTGCATTACCGTACAGTTAGAGGCTTGCTTTTACTTGATAATTACGACTAAATTACAGTGAGAACAATGATGACAGGCCACCTGTTTGATGAAGCACGCACTCTCTTTGCAAGCAACAAATGTCAACAGTCCGAAAAACCCAGATTTGAACTTCATTTAAATCCAGGAAAACACACACAAGCGGTGATTTTCAGCTGTGTTATTTTAGTAATGGTGACAGTAATTGGGGCACAAACTAGAAAAATAACAGGATGTAATGTAAACTGCTGGAATAAAAAGGCAGTGACAGTAAAACAAACAATCAGGAGCAACCGGCAAGCATGGAGAAGCAGCAATGGGTAACTAAATATTCATTTAAAGGCTCGACAGTAAAACGTCTCGTGGCCCGGGGGTCTTTGTATCACGGCGAGCCTCAGACGTATAACATTTCATTCTTTCAGATGATTATTAATGAGAGTTGACCTTCTCACGTATCAGACAAGTAAACTTTAAGGCGTGGCCGTTAAAGCAATCAGATCATTTATGTTGATTTTCTGCCAAGACCTCTTTTAATCGAGCCAGCCAGCAAAATGTTGAATACTGATAGCAGTAGGTACTCTGAACCATGTGAATTATTTTAAAAATAATGAATTAGATGTGAACTTTTAGGTAAATCCATCTTCAGTAACTGTACTGCAGATTTTTTTGTCTGTAAGCTGTATTTGATACTCTTTTTCCTTCACCAGACGTGATCATAATCTTTTATTGCCAAATTTATAATGATAGAAATATATAATATTCTCTAACACTTTAATATTAATACTGTTTTATATCATAAATGGAAAAGCCCCCCTTTTTTTTATGTTTTATGTGCAGATGATTTTTCGTGCATCATTCACACACCACATGTTCTAAGATTCACTGTTTGCTGATGTTCATTTAAGACTTAAAAAATTAAACAATTATATTTTTATTTGCTGAACTGCTTATTAATTGTGACTTCTGATATTTAACCCTTTAGTATGTGTGTTATAATACACCACACTGTAAGTGTATGTTTAAAAACAGCACGTTAGAGTAAAATAAACTGCGACTGTATCTCAAAATAAATGGCATTTTTTAGATTTTTGAACTATCACAGGTGTCGATAAAAGGTGGCCTGAGCGAAAAGGCCCTCTAGCCTACTTTAATATGTCTCTGTTAATGATGCTTCAATAGCTACAGTAGCTGTGAGTGCAGGTACTAATGAACTCTTAATAGTGTTAAATCTAACAGCCTCCAAATGATTCCACTAACTGTTTTATGGCCGTGTGGGCAGAACCCTAATTGGGGACTTGTGGATTCACAGCTCTCTTAACAACCTGCACTCGGAAACAAAACCTGTTCTCCATGGGGCTGAACACAGAGAACAATCACTTCTATTTCCCATCATAATTTTAATTTATAATTGATTCATTTCATAGCGTATATCTGTAAAAACGCAATTTAATTACTTTTGTCTCCGAACCATTGTGACACATCCAAAAGAATCCAAAACACATACAAAGCTAAATGAAAGACATCACTTATATATATGTTTATGTATGCAACAAAAACACAAAAAAATTAATCCCACAACAGTTAGATAGAAAGAGTGCTACTTTTAATATTTTATCTTCATCTTTTAAACCCTATTCCTCGCATCTCAGATGGAGACATGTCAGTGGCTAACCTTGTTTGTAGTTTACAAGAAAAACAGAACACAAAGTCCTGAATGTGCTAATTAATTGAATTTGTCTATAATCCTGTGACTCAGAGGGGGTCCACAGTGTATTTGTGGTGGAAGATTAACTGAGGAGAAGGAAGTCTTCCTCTGCCTGGGGGCAGCAGCCCCCCCGCCGAGAAACAGCCGAGGTGTGACGGAGGGGATTCCAGAGCAAGTAACAAAAGGCAGACACTTTGATTTGAACAGCAGTGGTAGTCAGAAAAACATACACACACACACACATATACACAAACCACAGTTCCTGATCCTGAGCAGCCCTGCCCTCAGGTTTCAGCCAGGCTGAAAGACGGCAGAAACTCCAGATGCTTCACAGCAGTTGTGGGCTGTGACTCGGTAGAAGACGGTTGCCGTGGAAGACTGGCAGGAGGAGGACACTGATGCAGGGTTGGAGTTATGTTGGCTATGAAGTGGAACAATTTAACAACAGCAGCAGAGACCTAAATTAATAGCAAAGCTGTGGAGGTTTTGGCCCGAAGGAGCGTTTCAAACACAGAGAGAAAGAGAGAAAGCAGGGGCAGCAGCAGAAAAGGGGGACGGGTGGAGTGGAAGGAGGCTCCACAGACTCTGTATGATGGATGGACTGGTGAGGAAGAGAGGAGGGTGGGGGTGTGGGGGAGTTCAAAAGAAAAATGACCCAGACTGCTGCTGTGATATAGCAGGAGGGAATGCAGGGCAGGGAAACATGTGGGGTTCTCATAATGAAGCAGTGTTTTGTGATAGCACCACACTGACGCAAACATTCGGAGACCTTAAATAAATATGGACAGACGCTGATTAAAGTCAGCTACCCATCGTGAAACAAACAAATCCAGCACTTCTGCTACGCTCCTGAAAGCTGTGCAGCAGGTCTGTGGAGATGTCACTGGATACAACACGAAGCTATTAGAGCTTTCAAGATGTCTCTGTGGCTTTAGTGGTAGGCATAAACCTTTTGACTGGGGTTAACTTCAGGGCTTTTAAAACATGATCCAGCCACACCCCCCCTTCCAATGCAGACAGGCAGAAATGAAAACCTCTCCTCACACACACCTACTTGCTCTCTCTCCTTTAGGGCCTGCTAAAGCCATTATGGCTCTAAAAGAGATCATATCGGCTCCAGGCAGACAGACAAATAGTTAGCTCGACAGTTAGATATGCCTGCAAACTAAGACGCCTCTGTGCTCGGGACAGGCCGACTAAATGTCTGGCTACTCTTCAGAGGCTCTCAGGTGTGACCGGCCAGTCTTGTGTGTACCACGGCCAAAATGGCAGACAGACACAGAGGCGTTTATGTGAGCCCGGAGTCGAGTGAATATCCACTCTATCTTCCCAGTCACGGGCAAGCATATGCTCCGGCGAGCAACTCAAACACAAGCCAGATCTTCTTTCCTGCAGAACTATGCAGGCTTTCACTCAGTTAATGCATATTTTTAGTCTGAGCCAAGGTCAAACATTTCGCCAGAGACCTTTCCTGACACGTAATTTCTCCCAGCAGCTGTGGTTTCTGACATTTGATGACTAACTTTGCATTTGAATCAAAGACTTTTGGCCAGACCACAAATGCATCGCGCTAGGATTTTAAGTGGGGATGATGGAGGCTTTGGTTCTTAGCTTAGTCACAGACGTGTTTTTCACTGAACTAACACCGTCGCATCAGTAGAGACTGAACCAAGCAGAAGAAGCCCTAATGTCGCCTTCCCTGCACATATGCACGCACACGCACATGCACGCACTAGTGTTCTCGAAAAAAATTGCTGATGGCGTGTTTTCATGAAGTTATATTATTTCCAGATGGAGGTCATGAATAAAACCTGACGGAAACAAGTCGGGTGAAACTGGAAACTTGAAAAAACAAAAATGGAGGGGTATGGAGCTGGGTAAAAAAAACAATCATTCTCCTCCCCCGCTCATTCCCCGAGCCTTTCAAAAAGACCAACTTGTCAATTACACGCCTTAAAAAACAGAGGAACAGTGTGCCACACAGGAACACATGGACGGGAACGCTGTGTTTGAAATGTTTCACTGCAGTGAAAACATCTGTAAACAAAAACAACTTATGGGGAAAAAAACCCTCAATCTTCAAAACTCTGTCCTTGGTTTCAGCCAAAAACAGAGTTAAGGGGAAAAGCGATTATTTTTGGACTCACTGAACATGCTGTGAAGATCTACTCGGGAGTTCACTAACCCCCCACCCCCTAGGCTCTCCAGCAAACCCTGAGCATAAAGAAAGACTCATTGTTGTTCCTTCGCTGCATCCAACCGAATAACCTAATTAATCTATCAAAATTCTGCATTTTTAATGTCTTTCAAAACTTTTAAGCATAAAACAACATGTGCAACCTTTGCGCGAGGCCAAAACATCCATTAGCTCTGTCAAAAAGACTGCCAAGACAAACCCAATGTGACGCCAGACGTTTTCCTCTCTGAGCTGATGTGGAGAAGGATGAACCGCAGCTGTACGTTTCACTAAATTACAGCTTATCACTTGAGGGATTGTTTCACAGCATTATTGGGGTAAAGACCTCATCTCAGGATAAATCCTGCGATGAGCTTACAGAGTCAGCAATTCGTTGTTGGTGCCTCTCCAAATTCCTGAGATGTGATTTGTGTGTCCCAACCTGCACGTGTGTGTATTTATAGGACACCAATCGATTAACGAGAATACCACAGGCATATTGGAATGAAGACTAGGAAACTGCAACTTCAAAGCTAGGCCAGTTAGCTTAGCACAAACCTTAGAAAAAGCTACCCTACTGCTATTAAATGTATACTCAGATGTGTAAATGGCTCCTTTTTCTAGAAGGGAATGTCCCATCACACCATTTCTTGACAGGGAGTAACAAGCTACCTTCTTAAATAGTGTTTGAAACCATACAACACCACCCAAAGTGACTATATGGATCTAGCTGATAGCTAGCACTAGCTAGCTTGATTGGTGTAATGAATGCTAGTTTATAATTAGTGTTAGAATTTGCCTCACCAAAGAACAAAATGGACACAAACTTGGATAGCCTGTAAATATTAATAATTCAAATTCAATTCACATTTTTATTTGATTTTAATGAGGTTTTTAATTTTAATGGGGAAGACATGTTTTAAAATGGTATGAAAAGGACTTGCGTGGTATAGGGAAGCCATGCGTCATATAGCATATAGCTTTTCTGTACTGTGACATATTTGCCAGGCTAAGCTGTTGCGTTTAATTTTTACCCTATACATTTATGCCCAAAATGCTGGCTTTAAATTATTTGATTATGTGTAAATTTCCCATGTTTTTTTGTGTGAATAAATAAAACTTTTTGCAAAAGAGCACACAAATCAAACTGTGATCATTTTCCGTCTGCTCTTCTCTGACTATAAGATTTTGTTTCCAGTCTAGGTGTAAGTCATGTTATGTGTTGGGAAAATTTTCCCACCAGGAAACCAGTCCTTCTAGTTAGCGTGGCTTTTGGTTTTGCCTTATCTAATCTGAGTCAGACTCCTTATCTTTATCATCTGGACTCTAATCAGCCGGCTTTGTCCAGACAACAAGGGGCCAACCTAAGGCAAAGACAATTATTTGTAGACAGGGACATGCCCTTTCAAGTCAGTGGCACTGGTATGGCTGAACGGTAAAGACTCACCGCAGAGATATCTGGAATTTGCTGCTTCCATTTTTGTTTGAGTGGCGTTTTCCGGCGTGACGTAGGCGTGCCTTCTTGAGAAATTAAACAGATTTTTATCGCTTCTTAAACTGTGTGTGTGCATCAACATTCGAGTTTTACCTCAGAAGTTAATATATGAAGAGCCGTTGATGGCATGTGGCAGAGATCTCCTGTTCGTATCACATCAGGTATTTGTTTAACCCTCTCCTAGCATAAACTCAGTAGTTTCTGAATCTGACTTTACAAATCCCTCCACCCTGCAGACCTGCCCTTATCTCAACCTCGCCAGGTTACTTCTGGCAGGCACAGATGGCAGCTCATTCGTGTGCTAACCACAAACTGAGCTCTGATTGTCCTGATGTCTGCCTTTGTCTTACAGTAATGCACCCTCTCTCACCATGAGAAAGGCCTGGCAAGTAAGCCAATTTACATGTATTAATTAAGGCTCATAATGAGCTCAGCGTGGTGGGACATTTGAATGCATTCTTCTGGTATTATGCAAACTCTGTGGAGCTCCTTTCCTCTGAGCCATTCAGATGGGCTGCAGATAGTGGATGTGGGGGCATGCGAGAAGATAAAGGGCTTAAAAAACACACAGAAAACCAGGTCAGCACACACATTCTAGGCCCCCCTCCCCCCACTGAAACACACACAAAGGTGTTAATGAGAAGTAAACAGGCTGTTAGTTGCAGTTACACTGAATACAATAAAAATGCAAATGAACACAACTTAAAAAAACAGTAGAAACATTATATTTATATATCTGTACAAACTAAAAAACTGCACAGTAACAACAAGGGAAGTATTAAAAAAACAAAAAAAAATCAAATGAATAATTTTTCATTGAAAATAAAAGTATCACCCACAAGGTGCATGAAAGCTGTAATGCACAAACATGTAAGAACAATTACAGTCCATTTAATCATATAAATATTTAGGAATGAAACACTATAACTAAGTGCACAAAAGTATCTAAAGCAAACAAAAAAGACTGCTCTGGAATGGTTTTGATCATCTTTGCTCATTGTTGATGTGTAAACGCTTACATGGTTGTTGCCGTCTCATGCGGCGGTGCAGCTAAGCCAGGGAACCACGAAAATACAGCCACAACCTCTGCGCATTAACATCAAAGTGTATTTGTATAAGAGCTTGTTTTCCTTTCTCGTCCCCGGGCTTCAAACGCTCAGCGACTATACTTCTTACCTCTTTGGTTTAAAACAAATTTAAAAAAAATCTGACAACAGGGGCCCGACCTCACGGTGAAAGCTGACGCACACGGCAAATAAAGGAAAGGTAAAAAGAAAAAAAAAATGTCAAGGGCATGAGGCTCTCCCTGCTTAATTGTACCTGAAGGGAAATCCCTTTAAATAGTAGCTGGCAGAGGGGAGTGAGCTGGCAGGCAGATCAAACAGTCACAGAGCAAGAAGCCCCATAAATACATCACATTCAGTTGCTGGCTTCAAACGCCTCCTTGTCAGCCTGGTCTCCACGCTGCTCCTGCAGATCCACAGAGCCGTGCTGCGTTCGACTTGTTAAACAGGAGGACGCGGTTCTCGAGTGCCACGTCTTGCATCAGTTCCCATCGCCCCGCTGTGTGCCATCTCTTGGTAACTCCCATTTTGACAGAAACTCGCTCGTACGTCAGGCGCTTGATTTTTCGACAACTTTTGTCTTCTTTACATAAACTTCTGATGTCCCATCAGGCACCAGGTGACTGAAGCCACTCCTGAAAGAGGCTAGGAGGCGGCCTACAGAGTAGAAAACAAAGAGAGAGACAGAAAAGCAGATCCACGTTAAACAAACTGGCAACATCAAGAAAGTGACATGTCCTGACTTGAAAATCTAAACTGTGTATTTAAACTTTAAAAAAGCTTTACTGGAAGATTAAAAGGAGCAGCAATTGTATGCTTAGCACTTCTAGTCATGTGGCAGGTGTGGCTTTGTGGAAAGTCATACAACTGGTGATTTTCCATGTCTACTTGATAATGGGAGTTGGGGAACTATGGACCAGTAGAACCAGTAGAGGAGGCTTTACTAACCCGTCCAAGTCTTCTGCCCCGTCAGAGTGAAGCTGTTGCACTGAGAGTGGGAGTTACAGATGTACGCTGCCTCTCGGGCACTATGGACTGACAGCACGCAGCCCTGCTGGCTGTAGGATGGCCAGCAGCGGTACTCCACGTTCCCAGAAGTGCCCATCCCTCGCATCACAGTGTAATCTAACCACAGAAGAAGAGACACCACTTCAGTACGTGAGGCTGCTGAAAGATTCTGAAATGCTCTCCAGGCATAAACACGGAAGTTTAGTAATCCCTGGAGGGAAAACAAACACAGCGGAGCACTGAAAGAAAAGAATGCTAATGAAAATAAAATAAGGGATTCCTAAATGTAACACTACGTCTTATAGAAACACAGACTCCGGTTTTGGTTGGGAGATATTTAAAGAACAGATATTCTTATGATAAAAAGGACACAAAAATGTTAGTGTGAAAATGTAAATCTACTGCTGGCAGAACAGGATTTAAAATGTGCTGACATACATTATTATGTATTATTTATAATAAACTAGCCAGCGGTAAAGTATTACTTGAAATTATTAATTAATTTGCAATATTTTTCTTAAGTGAAAACAATAATTTAGTCAGTAAAATACTAGGAAATACTTTTAAAAAATAATTAAATTTCTTTTTATTTATTTTTTTAAACATGGGATCAAAGAACAGAGCTGCCAAGCAGGAATCACAAAATGCTTTTTGCTTGAAAAATGATTTCTTATTTTGGAGTTACTCAACTAACTTATTAGGCGACAAATTGTTTTCAGCAATGTTTTTGTTCGAAACGCCAAAGCAGGACCTTCTGCGTCTGTCATCGTCTCTAATTATGTGTCAAACGTTTCATTTGACACCAGAGATTTTTTGCTCACACACACACACACACACACATGCACACACGCACACACACACACACACAATCGACCTCATCGTCCACTTTCCAAACATTTGCCGTACATTCATCATTATAATTCTTCCTGTCAGACGTCTTGTGGATCTGGCCTTAAATCATCTGCTACACATTAGCAGGAGCCATGAGAGGAAGGCATGCTCACATATGCCTGCACACACACACTTACACACACACCAGAAATGGACAAAAGCCTCGTCTGTGAGCCCGTACGGAGGAGGCTCACTGTTACAAACTGTTAACCTTCCTAAATGGCAGGAGGCGGTCTGTGTGGGGGAGTATTGTTACGAGGAAAAAGACACGAGGATCTGCCTTCTGGCTCTGAGAAAAGGGAACAAGGAGAAGGAGTGTTTGGAGGATCCTTCTCTGGGGAGAAAAAAAATGAGGCCTGTTGGGGTGGCAGACCTCAGCTGTTAAAGAGACAAAGACATACAAGTCTCAGTGTTTAAGATGAAGAATGGGAGAAAGGACCTCGTTTTCCTTTAATATATAGAATATCATTTAACTGTGAATTTACGGCCCGGCTAATGCGGTCTCTACAGTTCTGTACACAGCTGGATTTATAGTTGCAGCAGTTTTTAGGAAACTACAGTAAATCTTCATCATGTTTCTATCCATCACATCAGAGATGATCTCAGCTGCGTACAGCTTACATCCACATTACCTATGAATCTGCATCTGTCAACAATTTCAAATTAAGACTCTGGACCTGATGAGTCTCCCTCCCTCACACACACACACTATTACACAAGCTTTAGCTCTGTTGCCATTTGGCTTCTTTTATAAAGATAAGTTGGGACTTTGGCTGCAGTTACGTTTTCTCTCTCTTTTTTTTAAATTTCCTTTGAGGGAAAACATTTTAATTCATATGGCTTTTAATATACAATCCCACAATTACTCAGTTTTTTCCCCCCTCAGGCTGTTTAATCATTTAAAAAGACAGTTCTGTCAGATAAGTCACATTGGAAATGATTTATTACAGCAGCCGAACAGAGTTTGGTTTCTGTGCTCTGAGCTCATCGCTCCCTGCAAACGTGTTCCATATAAAATTGGTTAGTGATGAGTAAATATCCCCCCTTGGAGCGTGCAGGTGAGTGTGCTGGGGAGGTGGAGCAGGGTTGAAGCATTAGGGGCACTGACATATGTGAGAGGGTGATGGTGGAAATCTTGCAGCTTAACTACTGCCCCTGCCTCAAACCGGGGAGGGCGTGCTCGGTATATAATGTGAGGAGAGTGCGGCATGTTACACGTGTGCGACGAAAATGCAGCTTTGTTTCCAGTTTGTAAAAATGACTAATTTGGTGAGAACTGGATGAGAAGCTTAATATCTTTTTCATGTTAGTGCAGTGAGCATGCAGCTAACCACCTTAGCTTAGCAACTGGAATAAGGGAAATGTGGAAAAATATGCCCACCAGCCCTTCATACGCTTACTACTTATCTCCCTTTTTGTTAAATCTGTGTAAAATCTGAAGTGTGCTAGCAATCAGGACCGACTTTAAACAAGGAGATTTTTTTAAGCTTCGATAGAGTAAAGCTGGCCATTTCCCCAATATAGGAAATTAGGCTAACCAGATGCTGGTAATTTACTGGATGGAGTTGAATTCTCAACATGAGCCACGAGCTTTATTTCCCCCAATATGTGAAACGGATAAGCCGAGCTGGTGCAGAGCACAGGCTTTTCCTCCACCCACAAATACCCCTGCTTCAGCTAATATGCTGAATTAATAAACACACACATTTTTTCCCCCCACAGTCTTATCACACACACTCAGCAGCAGCAGCAGCAGTTGTCTCCTGGCACCTCCTTGTTAAGCTGAAACATTCCCTCCCGGTGTCAGCCTCGGCACCAGGGCCTCTTTACCCTGAATCTGTGATTAAATTCACAAAGTGCTGCTATATAAACAGTCCAGCATCTGGGGGGACGGAAAATCTCACCACAGGAACGCAGCCAGTCATTCTGTTATTAATATTTCATACGGCTGAGAGGAGCGGGGGGTGTGGTGGAAGCGAGTTGGAGAGAAGAAAAGTGAAGGACGTCCAGTGCTTAGGCTGGGCGAACACAGAAACAAGTAGGACAAAGATTTTGAAAAACTGTTTACGTGGCCGTTCTGCACAGCAAAAAGCGAGGAATTTTAAATGTAATGAAGTAAAAAAAAAAAACACTTCTTTTTTAAATGAACGCCAACTGCACTCTCTAAACAAAAGACATACGAGATTAATCTCACTTTGTTGGTCTCGTCCCCTCATTCCAGCTGCCTAATAAACCTGTCAAAACAGCCCCTTCTTTTTCTGTTTTTTCCCTTCTTAAGTAAAAAATGAAAACACAGGTGTAGACTGTCTGCTTTTCTCTACAAGTAGATTAAAAAAAGCCAAGCATTCTCTTCATGCTCACAAAAAAAAAAAAAAGGAAACAGGTCCACAAGAGAGCCCAGTGTGCTTTTATATAAAGCAGCCTTCATTCCACGAGCGCTTACCTCTGATTATTGATGGAGGCAGGTTCTCCAGGTGTAGGCCAGACTTATAGAGGTGGAGGATGTGTTCAAAGGCCTCCAGCGTCTGATTGATGTCAGCTTTCAGCTCCCCTGGACACACACACGCACGCACAATGAATTCAATCTGGTTAAAGATTTAAGTGACTACAGGCATAAAGTCAGGCATTATGGATGGTTTTTTTTACACTATGCTGTCTACTCCCAGTTGTGTGATCTCAACAAATAACTACTTGTATTCATTACTGCGTTACATGTCATGAAGCATCTTGTCTTGCTCATTAAAAGAAGCACTTAGGCAGAGGCATGTCATTACACGACTGCCGTAATGGAAAGATTTGCCTTCTGATCTTTAGTAGCGAGCGTCCCCCGTCATGTCGGGACGACTCTCATCCTCACCTGTGGCGTTCATGATGCGGTCTACCAGGTGTGTGAGGCCGGGCGGGGCCTGGTGAGGCAGCAGGTAGGTGAAAAAATACCTAAGGTCGGGCAAAGACACTCATTCAGAGAGAGAGAAAGTTGGGCAAGCCCTATCGCATAGCCGTCTCGCTCCGTCTCACACGTAAAGCTCGTAAAGCTGTCAAAAAAATCTGAACCATTTTTAAAAGGAAATCGCTCTTTTTTCCCCCCACTGAAACTAACAATGCATTCATTACACTTTCCCCATCAAACTGCAAATTTCCAGCTGCACGTCTCCACTGTCAACACTTTAGGTGTCAGCTTGTTCTATATTTATGCAGTTATCCGTGTAGCTGATGCTCCGACTATCTATCACGCAGTAAAACTGTCACTTTTTTTTTTACCTGTAGGCGTTGTAAATGTTCCTCTTCTCGTTTAGCCACTCACACACACCCCGAGCTGAGCAGGGCAGAGTGAAGTTTCTGTGTGGAAACTGGAGAGTGCAGTCTGCGTCTGTGTGACAGGTGGTCTCCTCCGCGCTGGCATCATCCAGGTCCGTGAGCTTCAGCGAGCCGGACACTGTGACAAACTGCCGAGGCTGGAAGTCCAACAGGGCCACGGAGCCCAGAGGCGACTGAGAGAGGAAGTGGAGGAGCCGGACCAGGTCCAGACACACCTGGAGATTAGAAACAACAAAGTCTGATCAGCTGGACTCGTGACAGTGGTGAAATATTGCTCAGGAATATTTCACGTTGGCCTTGAAGCGCTAAACGCATTGTCACTGAAGCCAGTTACGGTTTATAACCAGATAACTTTTGAAGTCATTCATCAAGTATGTACTCAGCTGTCTGACGTGAGAATATGCTTAATTTTTCTTTAATGTTAATATTTGTGATCAAATGTCAAGAAATGTTTTTAAAAAATCTATCAAATACAAATGTAATTACAGGCGTCAAAGCTTTTTCTTGATTTTCATATATAATTTTTAGGCGTGTTGCACATGGTTTGGTCTGAAACTGATGAAAAACCAGGCTGCCGTGTTCAGAGTGATTGTTGTGTCATACCAACAAAATCCAAAAATACTACATTTTCTACAATAAAAGAAAAATACTAGATTTTTTTTTTTTTGCAGAACCTAAAAGTATTTTTAACAATGACTTTAAATTTATTTCCATTCTCTCTCTCTCTCTCATTTAATTTGTTCAAACATAATTTATAATATAAAAAAAAAATCATAATCATAAGTAATTATCTTGTTAGTGAAAAATGTCATTTGGCCAACAAAAATCTGTTAAAAATATTATTATTTGACTTGTTTTCAAGTTAAAAACTGACTTGTTTTATCCTCTAAAAACTCAGAACATTGGACAATTTAATTAGGTTTAATTAAATGGCTAAAAATGGTTAAAACTGGAAGCCGTGCAAAAGCCTTCCCTTTAAAGGCGGCTCACCAACCACATTTGCAAACCATTTCCTGACACTGTTTTTATAGTACTCTTTAAATCCTATAATAAAAACAGAGAGAGTGGGAATAAGTAAGGCTACCAAAAGCAAAATTAAAGCATTAGCCGTGTGCTAAAAGTGCATGAAATGCTTCTGTCACACTACAAACATAGCTGCAGTGTTAGGTAATGCTCCGAGTCTCTTGGACGTCGCTTGGTAGAATCGGGGGCATGGCAAAAACGGGGCTGGCTGAAACCAAACACCCCTGGATTACTGAAGCTTGCACAGATGCGATGTAGCTGAAAGTGGCCAAGCAGCTCAAGGGGAGGGTTATTATGAACCGCTATTTTGGTGATGCAGCAAAAAGTTGCCCACTGTTGAGATGATACGTGCAGAATGCCAAACTA